GATAAAAGGCTTTCAAATTAAATGCAGGAAAATCAAAAGTTACATAAATGTCATATAGTTTGAAAATATAGCTCTAAGAAAGTGAATCATAAAATCTTAAAAAGAGAAAAAGTTGAGCTAGAAAGGGGTATAACAGATCTAAGGATCAGTGTGGCGTTCCACGACCTCCTTTACCACGTCTACTTACCGTCAAGCCGTCAACCACTCCATATCTTGAAATTTTGTGCTGGCTTGATTGACCTTCCTCAACGAGTCCTGTTAATGGATGTGTCACCGATCTCCGAACGTGTGTAATTTTCCGGGTCTAAAGCAGCAAAGTGATTGCCACCGAAAACATTCCCTTGCATAGTGTCATTTTCCAATGAGCCTATAGGTGAGGGAGCTGAGAAGATTACTAAATCAGGGGGAGCTGTAGTTGTTGTAGCATTAGTTGGAGTTGAGATTTGGTTGTCTCTAGTCTCGACAACAGTTTCAGCGACAAAGGATGAGATAGGTTCTTCAGCAACTACAGAGACTATTGTTGTTGCAGCATTGGGAGATTCTGTTAAAATGGATTCCATGATTGTTGTAGCAGCAACAACATTAGGGACAGCAACTGAAACAGCATGAGCAAGTGAGACAGAAGCAGTGACAGAACATGTTTTTGCGCATTTGTTTGAGATTGGTGAGAGGGAAGAAGACATTTAGACTAATTCTCCACATATATTGCATTTGGCTGGAAGCCAAGAATACTCCACATCCACCAACGAGAGATTGCCTATTTCGTCTTCAGCCAAAATCCTTTGAGGAAATTTCTTATGTAACTCTACTTCAACCATAACCTTTGCCTCGCCCATTAAACTAGGATCTAGCCATGGTTTGTTAGTGAGCATTGGTTCGCCTAATCCAGAGGCTATCCAACTGATATCCCTTGCGAGAGTACAGGTTGATGGGAATGTTTTTCAAAGTAACCCAAATTGGAATTGAAGTGATCTCAGGTAAAGCTAATGACGCAACAGGAGTCCATGGGGCAACAAACATGATACAATCATCTAAATGCCACAAACCACGTTGTAACACCCAAGCTCTAGTAGGAGCATCTGGAATATGAAAGAGATAAGAAGATTCAGTAAGCTTACGGGGGAAAATCTTGCATTTCTTTCCCCAAATCCGGTTTGCCATCGCATGGATAAGCCCTCCAGCTGGTGTGTAGCAACGATAGAATTGTCCAATAACATATTCCTTCTGATTCTCAAGTCCTTCCTTCAGAACATGGTTTGGAATGTTCCTGATTTCGGACTCAGTTGATACGCTTTCTTACGTTCTTATCTATCTTCTTGATGAGGATCCTTGCTCACAACGTGCAGCTTCTCCATGTTTGTTACCACTCGGCTTAAAAATAATGGATGCATTCTTGTTACCAATGCCCTACTCTTATGAGAAATTTTATGAATGGGTGATAAATAGTGATTGGATTGACACCAATTGTTGGTAATGTAGTGTTTGTGTTTAGAATATGTCTGAAACTCAATAATGATGCTTGAAACTCTTATGTAATGCATGATGGTTGGAGAAAGCCTATGATGGGAAATACATAACAAAATGATGGGTTGAAATCAGTATAATGGATAGATAGAAATTTTAATTGGATGTTTCATTGACATGGAGACTCTGTTCTGCTTTGTGTGGAAACAGAGGAATTGATAGAAATAATGTAACTAGGACTATTTGTGTGAAGCCGTGAAGGATAACGCCTTTTGACTTTTGTGATACTTGAAAACATCATACAAAGGAAAATGGAAAACTCTTGTCTGCAAAATCAGACTTGGAGGAAATAGGAAAAACGTACAAAAGAAAGGATATATGAAGCTGAATCAATCATCCATGGAGATGGAGAGAGCGGTTTCTAGATCGAAACTCAGTTAACGAAAGCGCACTTCTTCCTGATCTCACCGTTTTCCCCAGTGAGTACTTCGATCATACCAAGTTTGACCATTGAGTCGGCGAAGTCTTTGGCGAATGAAGAAGACTCAACAGAAGCAGCTTGTGTTTCAATGTAGCTTTTGGTCTCAGGATCATCGAGAAGTGCCGAGTCAGAGGTGAACAAACCTTTCTTCTGAGCCACGGCTCTGAAGTAGTGAGTGTCAAACTTCTTGCCACTGCCTGGATCCATCTCCACTGGGGTCCTGAGATCAGTGGGCTTGCACCTTTTCTTCAATGCCCTAACGTAGCTAGGGTTCATCGACGGGTCGAAATCGCCCTTTCCAGTAAAGTTGTAGATACGGGCGTTGATGAGGGCGCAACTAGAGATTCCGATGGTGTGAGCTCCTGCTCAAGATACCATTTCTTTATTATTATTGTTCAGCTATTGGAAACATGATCAAGTTGGTAACTTTATGCACATAACATGTTTGAAGATTACCTGAAAGAACGACAAGGTCTTTAGCGTTAAGACCCTTGTCGGCGAAGTTCGTCTTCAGTGTAGTTACGTTGACGAAAGGCGATGGTAGATTAGCCTCGGATGCTTTTGAGATGCGACCATCCCTCCGTCCCAATGGAACCGGCCACCATGGTCCTTGGATCTGTAAGAAAGGCAACAAAAGGAAGTTTTAGTACTTTAGTTACTTGAATGGTTTTGGAATGAGAACAATCAGTATGCAATGCAGAAACGTTACCACTAAGATGGCGTCTCTTGCGACTAAGGCAAGAACATCAGCGCAAGAGACAACACCGGGACACTTCTTCTCGAGGGCTGCCTTGGCGGCATCCACAACTTCATAGCCTCTCACTGACAAGTTGGGGAAAGCATCTCTTTCCGCATCTTTGTTTGGAGATTTCAGAAGCATGGAACCATCACATCCCTACATGAAACAGAGACGTGTTAAACACGGGTCTTAAAAAAACAGAGTTTTTGAAAAGCAGAGCAATGAGCAAAGCTTACTCTAACGAAACAATCATGGAAATGCATCCTTAGAAGTGCAGCAGCAAGACTCCGCTGGTGAGAAACATATTGAATCGTGATTCTACGGACAATGGATTCTGCGTCGGGACACTTGTGACGGTAGTAGTCAAGGTCAAGGCCTCCTCCATTTGGAACGGAAACCGAAACTCCAAGAACTCCAAGAAGAACTACAAGGGCAAGAAGGTTCTTCATCGCCATTACTCTCTCCTTTCTTAGCTAGTTAGCTTTGTTGAGTGTTAGCCAAGAAAGATCCGAGCGAGTTTGGAGATGAAGATGAAAGGAGACAATCTAATGCTTTTATAGATAAAAGTGTTGAAAACGTCCACATATAGAAATGTCAAATAGGATTTAGATATAAACCCATTTGCAGCATTCCTCTGTTTGTTAATTAGGTTTGAAAAACA